TCACTCTGGAGATACCCTCCTTAAAAAAGGCAGTAAAAACCTAGTAAAGCCTCCTCGACATAGCCTCAAATGAAAAATATATTATGAGGAGTCAGAACAATAGCACATTGGGGTAAGATGCTTGCCTTGCACACAGTCGTTCAGGGTTCAATCCCTGAGACTCCACATTGGTCCCTAAACCCTACCAGGAATAAGCTCTGAACAGTACAGGGTGTGGACCAAAAACAAACAAACAAGAAAAGTTAATAAATGAAAAAGTATTTTACTTACCTTTATATCACTGCCTGGTGTAGCACTAAGAGCCAAGATTCTAAAGTGACTTGTATATTTCACTAATTCTCTTACAACCTGAAAAAAAATTTTTAAAAGTTTTTGAATTTCATTTATCCAATACAACAACAGCTTTTGTTTAAAAGCCTATTATAATAGCAAATCACTAGTCAGATAACTATGACCTAGGGGCTAACTTCTTAAAACCATAAGTCAGAACCCAATGTAGGGTAAAATAACTGAAAGTGATGGTTGCGAAAAATTGTCTTAAAATAAGTTATGAATTATTTTCAGTAAGTTTTTGATTTGTATACCTATTTTACATACCCTGGTCACCAAAAAAATTTTCTCAAGTGAAAGGTCATGAGTGGAAAAGTTTAAAAACCCCTCATCTAGTTGGAACTAACATTAATCATATCAAGAACAAATGATTTGGTTAAGACACTTGCCTTTCAAGTAGCCAAGCCTGGTTTGCTTCAAGCACATATATGGTTCCCTGAGCACTGTAGGAGCAACACTTGAGCAGCCAGGAATATCACCTGAGCACTGCCCGGTTGTAATCCAATGCCACCAACTCCTCCACCCCACGCAAGTAAGTTAAAAATAAGCAAAATAAAATCTCCAATGAAACTATAAATTAACAAACATGTAGTGAATTTAACTCTGCAATAAACAAAACAGATTTTATCCTCTACTTCTCAACATCACCAATATAGTCTTAACTAATACTTATATGCTATAAGTTCCAAATCTGCATCATATGCTAAAAACTCTCCACTGAGATCACTACTGCTACCATGTACTGACTACTTGGATAATTACAACTACATTCCTCTCAAACATCTGAAACTCAGTATAAACAATATAACCTATCTTTCCACTGCAGTGATAATGTTCTTTGGCCCCTGGATATGTTTTTATTCATTTCGTTTTGTGGCCACACCCAGCTGTGCTAAAGGCTTCCTCCCAGCTCTGCACTCCTGGCAGGAGTCAGGGACCACATATGGGATGGTAGGCATCTAATGTGGGTAGTGCATCATCTGTGTACAAGGCAAATGTCCTACCCACTGTACTCCCTCTCCAACTCCCTCCCTACCTCTTAAGTAGCAGCACCAACATCCTCACAATCTCCCAAACTGGAAACTGTGAGTCATCTTCATTTCCTCCTAATCCTCACTGTACACAGCCTTTAGCCTTGTACATGTCTTCAATACTCTTATTTCTTAAGTATTATGCCGCTAAATATTTTTCAGTGTCTCTACCTCTATGTATACTACGCCTTGCAAAGAGCTTTCAAACTGGTAAATATAAAATACAAATACAGGCAGAGAGATAGCTCAAAAGAAAGGAGTACATGCTCTGTATGAGGAAACCACAGCACATGATTCCCCAATACTGAGCTGTGTGTAGTAGCCCCTGAGTACCTGAGTAGGTGTCCTAAAAATGCCTTCATGAACTAGCTCTCCAATCTTTCTCCAGCTATTTCCCACTTCTCAGAAGGTACTGTGTTAGGTATGTTGCATACAACATGTAATCCTTATAAGAATGTTGACTACAATTTTAAGTACAGTTTTAGCTATCAAGGAATTAACATATTGCATAGTCAGTATAAATCCTTAGACTATTATTGTAGTTCCTAAATATATATACATATACACATATATACATATACATATACATATACACATATACATATATATATGCTTAAACTAAGCATAGGCCCTCAAAGTCTACATCTGTACATATGTTATTTTTTTTGTGGAAAAAAAGCAGAGGCATCAATCTGAATGGATAAAATGATAGAAAGCTTTCATAAGGTTAGTATCATCAATATCTTCCCTCAAAAATTAGCCCCCCATATGCTACTGAAAAAAGATCTTTATATTACAAGATACTTTTAAACAAAATATTACCTGGCAATAAGCATAGTTTCCAAGAGCTTTATGAGCTTCATCAATAACTAGACATTTTATTTGAACGGCAGGACAAGCTCCTCTAGAAAGATCATTTACCATGACCTGGGGTGTAAGAAACAGGACTCTCTTACTCTGCCATATTTCCTTCCTGGTGAAAGCTTGAGTGGATCCTGTAAAGAAAAGAGAGTCTGCAATCTATACTCAACTGTTATTTGTAAAAATATACATAAAGACATATTTCCAGAACGCATTCTTGCTCTCCTTTCCAGAATTATGTGGCCAAAGAAGGGAATATTACATTTTAAAGCTCTGTTGTGGTTCAAAGGTCAAAACTGGTCCTGATGGAAGACCACAACTAGATCCTCTTTAACAAAATCGCATAAAGATTTAAAGAGAAACAAATTGTACGACTGAGAAATCCTAGGGAAATCAGGAAACCTCAAGTTCACTTACCCACGGACTACACCCGTGTAATCTTTTCAAATAGTTCTGACAAGCTAGGGGATGGATTCTTTTAAAACGGAATAAAGCAGCTGTATTTAGCTGATAATATTCTTAAGGAAAACACGAAAGGTAAAGATAGCGTAAGGTAAACATAGCGTGATCCGGGGAGCCTGTTCCACAAAGGTCAGGAAATCCTTGAGCTCATAATCCAGCGGACAACCAGTTCTTAATTTTACATTGCCCATCCCCCCGCCACCCCCTCCCGTCACCCCCCAAATACCTGTCAGTTCAGCCATGTGAGACTGAGGGATACCCATCACCCTATAGCACGCTTCGATCTGCTGCGTGACCAGAGGCTTCGTGGGTGCCATGAAGACCACCTTGCCGGAAGGAAACCAGCGGTAGAAATTGTACATGACCACCGCGGCAATAAAGGTCTTTCCCAGCCCGGTGGGCAGGCACACCAGCGTGTTGCAGAACAGAGCGGTCTGGGAGATGTGCAGCTGGTAGTCTCGCACCGGACAGTTGGTAGGGTAGATCCACAAGGCGCCCGCCGACGTGCAGAAGCCGCCATTCTCGACACACAGCTGTCTCTCGGCCTCGTACACGGCGACCAGCAGCACGTCGTCGTCCGACTCCGACTGAGAGCCAGCCGCCGCCGCCGCTGCCGCTGCCGCTGCAGGGACGCCGGCGGCTCCGGAGACGCCCGGCTGAGAACGCTGGCTCTCACCGCTGCCACTCGGGGGCCGGGCGGTGCGGGAGATGCTCGAGCCCCACGTCTGAAAAAGTGTTCTCTGTCGTCCGCTCATGAGGCCACCAACACCAAAGACTTCTCCTAGACGTCGGCAGTGGCGGCAGCTTTTCAACCGCCACGGTTTCGATCCCCATGGGTTAGTTTGTCCCGAGCAGAGGAGTAGTAAGCAGAGGAAGAGCCTGCAACCAGTTCTAGTTGAAAATGCCGCCTCCCTGTTTGTGCTGCTTTCTGATAGGTCTGCTTTCCGGAAACCTGGCGCCTGTTCCGGAGACGCATGCGCGTTGGCACGGGGTTGCGCTAAATTGACTCCCCTACCCGGACTCTTCATTGACTCTAAATTGGAGTTCCGGCCACTTTTGCGAATTTCGTGTTCTAGCCGGTCTAGTGTGCCTCGTTCATGGCTGTATTTTGAAATCGGAAGATGAAATGAGAAGCAATATTGTTTAGATAAAAAGTCTACTCAAAACCGAAAAATCAAAATGGCAATCTCTCTCTCTCTTTCTCTCTCTCTTTCGCTCTTTTTTTTTTACAGGGTTTGGAGAAGGGATCCACGATGAGCTTCCTTTTAATTTGGAGTCTACATTTGTGCTCTGGTGTTTCTGAAGCGCTGGGAATCGCTCCAGGCCATACTTAAGAAGCAGTGTGGAGCCTGGGATCGAATTCTGCGTTTCTTCAGACTCAGCTTTAGCGTGTTGATCTCTCTGACTCCATTATCTAATCTTATTGTTAAAAGGAAATTGAATGATTTGTTCCCGTTAATCTTTGGAAAATATGAAATGAAAAATAAGGTACTCTGTTGTGGTGCCCCAGCATTCAATCTTCATAAATGAAACACAGTAGTAGGCAATCCAACGATAGTGTTCCACTGCTAATTTGGGTAAAATGACAGATTTCTCCACTACTCTAAACGATATGACTTTGAGCAGTCGTGTAATTTCCTCATACATTAAATCGTTTTAATTTAATATTTTTGTGTGTTAAGAAAAAGTATACATACATCACAAAGTAGTTTTAAGTATAAATCAGCAAGCGCTATCTCAATGAAGTTTCTTAATTTTCTTTCGGTTCTCACATTTAGAGGAGGTAGGAAGGTCTATTTTCATTTTATGATCTGATAAATCGAACGGGACAGATTCGGGGCCGAATTTTTTGGGTACAGAAAAGAAAATTAAATGTCTGAATTCTCTGTTTCTGGGTAACACTCAGCAGTGTTCAGAGCCATTCCCTGCAGTGCTGCTGATCTAACCAGAATCAACCGCAGGCAAGGCAAATGCCTATAGTAAATTTCCCGCCCTTAAGTCCTTCCTTGTTTTCTTTAAAGTCAAAACAGCCTTCGGTAATAAGCAAATGGAGACCTGGTCTGTAAATATTACTAGCTTGAGAGGTTGCCTCATTGGGTTCCAATTAAGAGATGATAGCCTGGGGTCTGGCACCCTACAGCAAGCCACCAAGGCCAGGCCAGTCAGTTTCTTACCCGGAACTAAACAAATCCAGTATTCCTGAGGGCGCAACACTGACGTCACTCAAGGACTGCGCCCAATCCTGTGGAGCGGCACGGTGACCCCGCCCCCTCGAAGGCGGGACTTATTGCCTACGCCACGCCACGCCACGCCCCGGGACCGAAGCGGGCCGGCTCAGTCTAGCTGAGGCAGCGGGGGAAGATGGCGACTGCCGTTCCGCAGCGATCCTGGACCGTGGAGCAACTGCGCAGCGAGCAGCTACCCAAGAAGGACATTATCAAGTTTCTCCAGGACCACGGTTCAGATTCGGTACCAGAGGCAACGGGGCGGCCGGGCTGGTGCGGTTGAGGGGCGCCTTTCCCCCCCCGGAGATACCCGTACATTCCATATTCCTCCGAGCTCCCGCCCTCGACTGCCCGTGGCCGGGGCCTGCAAGGCCGGAGCTGCCCGCGTGCTCCCCGGAGCCACGGTCCCGCCCTCGGGCCGGCCCTGCTGGCCCTGGGGTTGTTCTGTCTCCCCGGCGCGCTGGCACAATGGGAAGGTGCTTGGGAACCTTGCGGAAGGGTAAAGGCCTGGGGGTGGAAAAAAAGCCTGTGGCGTCAAACACGAGGACCAGGGCTTGAATGGCAGAGCTCTTTAGGAAAAAAGAGAGGAAGATCTCTGTGACAGTGGTGCCTGTGATTTGCTTTTCTCAGTAAACACGAAGTGCCAGTGCACGTGATTTTTAAAGAACCGTAAATTGCCGTTTTCCTTTGAAAAGAAATGACCTTTTTTACTCTGCCTTCCTCTGTACAGTTATCGCCCATACTGGTACACAAACGGAGACACCTATTTGGCATCCTTTATACTGGATCTGTTTTCCAGCCTTAGCCTCCATTATTAACCACTAGTCTGTAGTCTGGGGGGGTGGGGGGGTGGGATGCTAAACAACTCTAAGCTTTGTCGCTTGTCTTACAGCCTACTTGTCAGAAACGACAAGTTCGTGATTTCTCAGACTGTAATTTAAAATCCGGACTAGTGTTTAGAATATTTGTTACTGGATACTTTTGAGAGGACCGATAAACTTAACATTATTAGGAGTCGGGAAGGTGTAATGTAATTATTCAAGTTTCATAGCACTGTATAATTAGCCTGGCATCAGATTATAAATTATAAAAAGTTATAAAAAGATAATAATAAAAATTATCAAGAACTACTCAGTACTTTGAGAAAGACCATGGCTCACTGAATGCATTTTATAGTGAAGTTTTTATTAAGCCAAAATCATTTTTATTTTCAACTGAAAATAGAGTAAATGATTTTGTTTAGTTTTGTTCGGGGACCATGCTGGCAGTGCCCAGAGCTTACTCCTGGCACCTGACTCAGGGATCACGCCTCATCAGAAGACCATATGGGCAGGCAGGGTTGGCCACATACAAGGCAAATGCCCTAATCATTGTACTGCCCATTCTCAGAGCAGATAATCTATTAATATTTAATGCTTTGAAAAACTAGTCACCAGATTCTTCCAATACAAAATAATCCCTGTGTAGAATCATAAAACTAGTTTTGTGGAGTTTCTTGAGATTTGAATAATTATGTATTTTAATAACATACTAATCTCTTGCATATTTTCCAGACAATCACTATAAGAATATCTACAGAAAATGTCTACAGTTTGGGTGTTTTTCTAGAGTCTTGCTAAGAAATGCACAGATATGCAAAGCCAACTGATGAATTCTCCTTACTCAAAATAGCCTTCATCATTTAGAACATTTTTCTAAAAGGAGAGAAAAATCAAGGGGTGAAATACAATTGTGATAGTTACAGAAACTGTTTTATCAAAAGGTTAGAAGATTCAGAGTATAATTCTTAGAAAGTAACAAAAACAGCTAAGGAAAGCTGTTTTGTTATTAAAGTTATTACTATAAAGTTATAGTATAGTAAAGTTACAGTATAGTAAAGTTATTACTATAAAGTTATAGTAAAAGTTTTAAAAGTTATTAAAATCTATTATAAGAGTAAACCAAGTTAAAATGATTTTGATGACTTGCTTTTTCAGTAGACATATATTAGTTATCCATCTGCAACTTAAGTCTAATTCGGAAAAATGGAATTCTGGTACTTTGAGTTACTAAATATTTTATTAAACAACCTTGAGTTGTTACTGTTACTGGCTCGATGCTAAAAGCATTTAAATAATTGAATTTGTCTTATAGCAGCACCTGATACAGATGCTGTTAATAAGCAAGTCTTTAGGAAAGCTCCCTTATTTAATAAGATTATACAGCTAAGATTTTAACACATATGGTTCTATTCAATAGCCCGGAGACTTAGTCACTATATATACCCAGCACAATACAGCAGTGCTTTCCATCTGCCAAGAATGAATTCTAGGCACAGGAGAGTACAGTAGATACAGTGCTTGCCTTGCATTCCGCATACTCAGGTTCAGTTCCCAGCACCCTACATATGATCTCCCAAGCCCACCAGGAGTGATCCCTGAGGACAGCCAGGTATGACTCAAAAACAAAAATTAAAAATAGGGTCTTTGGGGGTATGCTATACCCAACAGGACTAGAGAATCCTAGGAATAGGACTGAGGAATATCCTAACAAGAGCAGCTTTATTCAGTGACCCAGATGCCTGCTGAATAAAATTTTGTGACTTTTGTGCTGGGAAAATAGTGCAACATTGTGGGTACACTGTACACTATATAATATAGTCCAAATTTTTACAATAATTATTTAAATTCTCTTTAAATCTTTTTGTTTGAAGAAATACGTAATGCTTTGAAATATATTTATTCAATTTATGTCATTACAAGTACTATTGAAAATACAATTGCTAACATAATAGTTGTTTTCAATTATGAAACCCTTAATACACAAGAAAGTTTGACTAGCCAGCATTTTTTGTTTATAGTTTCTCGCAGAACACAAGTTATTGGGAAACATTAAAAATGTGGCGAAGACAGCTAACAAGGACCATTTGGTTACAGCGTATAATCATCTTTTTGAAAGTAAGGTGAGTCTTGCTAAATTTTATTATCAGAATATAACATTTTACTCTCAAAAAAATTTTGTACATGTATTTATCTGGAAATTATGTTGAAGTGTTTCTCTACTGCAATTTTTTGGCTTTTGTTTTGTCTCATACCCTAGCAGTGCTCAGGGGTTACTCCTGGCAGTGCTCAGGAGAGTATATGGGATGCTGCGGATCAAAGGCAAATGCCCTACCAACTGTACTACCGCTTCAGCTCCTACAGCAGTTTTTCTTAACTGTAATAACTAGCAAAGCTAATTTGCAATATGAGGACATTTTAGTATTCTAAAATGAAGCAGACTGTTTAAAATTAATTTTCTGATAGCTGCAATTAAGACAAATTCTTAAATGCACTGAAAGTTAATAATCCAAAGTAAGTTCCTTATCATTAGTAAATTAAGTCATTAATGAAGTTGGGGTAGTTAGAATGAACCTTTAGGAAAGCAGATTTAAATTCTCCATGTTTCTTCACTGTGAAATCTCTCTCTCTCTCACACACACACACACACACACACACACACACACACACACACACACTCCCCACAGAGTTGTCTGAATACAAGTGCTACTTATAGGTTAATTACTTCTTTAAAGGTCATATAGTTCTTGTTCGAAGTTTTATATTGTGAAATAGTTTGAGTTGTTGGTTTAAATACTCTTTTGTTGTTGCTGTTAGTAAATTACCATTCACTTACATTTAAGTTACAGCCTTTATTCATGATGTAGATAATTAAGATGCTGCAAAATCTTGTAGCTCTCTTAGGTGTTAGCTATCCTGAACATGTTACAATAACGAATGTTACAATAACAAAATTTTTCCTTACAGCGTTTTAAGGGCACTGAAAGTATAAATAAAGTGTGTGAGCAGGTGAAAAATGTGAAGCTAAATGAAGATAAACCCAAAGAAACCAAATCTGAAGAAACTCTGGATGAGGTTTGTGTGTGTGTGTGTGTATTTACTGAATATGTTTAAATTTGAAAAAAGGATTTGCTTTATATGGTGCTAATTTCTCATGATAATTGATAATTTACTCTTACATTTTTTCTATGGACTAAGCCCTGGTTCAGACTGTGTTACAGGGGCAGAAAAGATAGTACAGATAGAGCACTTGCCTTGTATATGTCAGACCCAGGTTCTGTCCCAAGTATCCTATATTGTATCCTGTGCACTGCTAGGAGTAATTCCTGAATGCAGAGCAGGAGTATCCGCTGAGTATCACCAGGTGTGACCCCAAAACAAAACAAAAACAGTATATGATATCAGAAGGGAGAAAAAAGAATTTTTTTAGTGCTTTGTAATTAATTTTTCTTATGCAGTACTTTTACTTTTGTCTTTTATAGTGCATCTATGCCAGACAGATACAAGCTTTGAAATTTATTTTAAGGTCTTGATTTTATAGCCAAGTTGGACTTAAGGAAACCTCATTTGTGCTAAGTTTAGCTTTTTATAATGTACATGGTGTCCTTAGCGATAGAAATAGTCCGTGCTTGGCTGCATGGCATGGGTTCATCCGTAGAGACGGCTCACCTTTCCCAGTCCAACTTGTATGTTTTAGTTTAAAGCTCTAAAGATTTTCTGCGAATGGACAGACAGTCTTAATGGAATTACTCTTGCCACTTCTGCTGTCTTGCACCAAAGATCACTCGTTACTATAAGTCTGAGTAGCACTCATAAAAATCTAATATTAGTTTTTTATTTCTTAGAAGTATAGCCTGTTGATGAAGGTGCAGGATGTAGGTCTGTGTGGATAATATAATTTAAGATAAAGAATTACAGATGCTTAGAACCGGACAGATAGTACAGAGGTTAAGCAGCTTGCTTTGAATGCAGCCACCTCAGTTTGATCCCCAGCATACGTATGTGGTCCTCTGAGCACCACCAGAGTGGCGGAACTAGTAGGCATGCACAACTCTTCCTCTTCTCCCCGAACCCCTGCCAAGAACTGTAGATAAATGAGCAAAGCAAGACTATCCTTGTTGGTTGAAAAGTTCATGTTAGTGTTTTGGGGTATGTCACAACTAATATTTGATGTTACACAGACTAAGCAATTAATGACAAGGATTAAGATAACAAGTTGTAATAATTATGCAATTGCCAACAAGGGAAATATGACATGGCAGTAATATATCAAAAGATTAAAGTCAGGTAAAATTAAAAAGACTAGAGACCATATATAGAGGTTTTGTGAGCATATTATATTGCATCCTCTTTGGTTTTTTGGTCACACCTGGTGATGCACAGGGGTTACATCTGGCTCTGTACTCAGGAATTACTCCTGGCAGTGCTCGGGGGACCATATGGGATGCTGGGAATCCAGCCCAAGTCAGCCACGTGCAAGGAAGACACCCTACCCTCTGTGTTATCACTCCAGCCCCAGATTGCATCCTCTTAATACTAAAACTGTCCAACATTATTTAACTGTCTACCTAAGTTTAATTATATTCTATTACCACTCGCATAGCTTCTTCTCCAATGCTTCCATCTGCCTTCCCTGTTATGCTTTGTGGAGAAGCATTAAAAAAAATCAAATTATTAATCAGTTTGGGTATAAGTTCATACTTGCTATTTACCAAGTGTATTTTCTTGTTTCACTGATACTTTGTGGAGTCAAGTGGACAGTACATGCAGCAGTGTTCTGGGAAGCCTTATAGGCTACCAACCCAAGTTCAGGTCCCAGAATCACCTAAAGTCCCAGAGCAGTAATCCCTAAGCTCAGAACCAGAAATATATCCTGAGTACAGCTGGGTCTGGCCACCAAAACAGAACAAAACACAACTCTTAACTGCTAAAAATGACCGGAAGGTAAAAAACCCAAATTCCTGTTGTATGTTCCATGTTTTTCCTGTCTTATTTCCTCTTATTTCCTGCCATTCTTACTACTTCTTGCAGGGTATACCACTTTATGTACTTCCTAATTGGGGGGCAGGAAGAACACACTTTTTTTTTTTTTTTTGCTTTTTGGGTCACAGCTGGCAATGCACAGGGATAACTCCTGGCGGTGCTCAGGGCACCATATGGGATGCTGGGAATCGAACCCCAGTCGGCCCCATGGAGTGCAAACACCCTACCCGCTGTGCTATCTCTCCAGCCCCAGGACACACTATTCTTTATTGTGGACCTTCCCTCTGTGATGTGGGCTCTTTCGATCCTATGTTTCCTCTTGAAAATGTATCTCTTTTTCTGCTTTTTCCACTCTGGAGAAGCATGTGTTCTCTTTCCTTCATGTCTTTTAAATCTTGTCACATCCAGCATCGCTCAGGACTTACTCCTCACTATTAGGATCAGTCCTTGTGGGGCTCCAGTGCTGGAGATTGAATCACCAACTTAGCTGCATGCAAGGCAAGGATCTTAGCCGCTTTACTGTCTTTACTGTCTCTCACTCTGACTACCCTTCCCCCCCACCTCCCTAGCCTGTTTATGGCGTGAGGTCAGAGGTCCCAAGGCTGCCTTGGAGTTAGATGCTTGATGACTTTAATGTCAATGAATAGAAATTTTTTAACTTGGAAGTACAATCTAACAGTGTTTCAAGAGTGTTGTTTTTTTCAAAGAATCTGGGTGTATCTAAAATTTAATAATAAATTACCAATTTTGTCATCACAGACAAGATAGTGATTCTTAGTTCATAGGTATATTAGAGACGTCACTTGTTTATCAGGGACAGGGCTCAGAGTTCTGGAGCACATGCTTTGGAGCCCTGACAGCACTTGGTTCTGGCCCCAGAACAAAAAATCATGTTACCAGTCTAAGGAACTCTAGTCTGACTTAGATCTCAGTTGGCTGTATATGTATTCTCATCATTCTTCTAAAATAACTTATTTTTTTTTTTTAGGGCCCACCGAAATACACAAAATCTATTCTTAAAAAAGGAGATAAAACCAACTTTCCCAAAAAGGGAGATGTTGTTCATTGCTGGTATACAGGAACACTACAAGATGGAACTGTTTTTGATACTAATATCCAGACAAGTAAGCCTGGTTATAATTTTATCTTTTTTTACTTTGCAAAATATTTACATGGTAAGGTCTGGCAAACACCTGCTTCTCGATTGTCTTTTACACCTATGATTCACTTTCAAGAGATCTTCACTTCATTAAGGGGAAATAAGACCTTAGTCACTGGAAAGGAAAAGAATAAAACTTAGTCTCAAAGTTAGGCTATGATACACCAGAATTTTTCACTCATTTTAGTGTTCTGTTTTCTATAAAGGTCTTCCCCCTTCTAGTTAGACCATAATTATTTTTATATCTGGAATTTTCTTAGTAAATCAGCTGGGTTTTAAACTTAACTCCTCATCAGATGCATAGTATGTTAAACATTCAAATCAGTTTTAAGTCTTAAAACACTGCTTCCCATGAACTTAATTTCACTGTTAATTTTAAGGAAATCTGTTTTACAGGTTCAAAGAAGAAGAAAAATGCCAAGCCTCTAAGTTTTAAAGTTGGAATAGGCAAAGTTATCAGAGGAGTAAGTAGAGAATGGAGTGAGTCAGTAGTTATTTTGGCGCATGCAACTTATGTTATGTGTGTTATGGTGCCATTAAAAATTAGTATGAGGACCGGAGATGGTATAACATGGGTTTCATTCTGGTACCAGAAAATGGTTCCCAGAGTACTACCAACAGTGAGCCCTGAGCACCACCAGAGGTAGCTCAAAAAAAAAAAAACCCTGACCCCACAAAAGTTAGGATTAAAGGTATGATAAAAAAAATATTTGAAGTCTTAATAAGCTGATCCCTATCATTGCTAGCTTATATGACACAGGTTAAGTTCTCTGAGTAAGGAGCCTATTTCTAGAAAGTTAGGGCCAGAGAGATGGATAGATCGATAATGAGCGCATGCTTTGCAATTAAGAGACCTGCTTTCCTGCAGCATTGCATGATCCTTCGAGCTCTAAGCTAAGTGTAGCCACTAAATATGAGACCATGTATGGCTTCAAGGCTAGCACCACTGAATAACCCCAACCATTGCACAGGAACTAGAGACATCCAGAACTGTAAAATGTAGCCCCCAAACAAGGAAATGTGGTTAAACTTTCCCTCCCCATTTCTATTACTAGTTTTCAAAGTTCTAATCAACATTACATCCTTGCATTAGAACTTAAGTGATCTTAGCCAGCTGGCTTAAAGATCTCAATTTGGGGGCTGGAAAGATACAGAACAGAAGGTAGACTTGTACAGTACAAGAAGTCAACCAACTGGTGCGAATCCTTGGCACCAACAGGGGTTATTATTCCTAAGCACTAGGGCAGGACTAGGCCCCGGCCTGCCAGGTATCGCTCAAAAAGCCAAAATAATAATAAAAAAAAAAAACCAGTTTAGCTACTAACACAAAAAACTCAATTCTGAGAGTAGTTCTACCTTCTGCAAAAGAACAAATACTAAATTCAGAAGCTTGTCTTAACTGCTGAAAAAGTATTTGACAGTGCTACTGTCTTGTAATCATGGCTTGTTTACAAATGTACTTTTGCTTGAGTATTATATTAAAAACTTTAATATGGCTTTTCTTTTTTCATTTAAAAAAGAAACTTAAGTCAAAAAAAAATCCCTTAGAATGTAATGAGAGGGGGCTGGAGCACAGCGGGTAGGACGTTTGCCTTGTACATGGTCAACCCGGGTTTGATTCCCAGCATCCCATATGGTCCCGAGCACCACCAGGAGTAACTCCTGAGTGTAGAGCCAGGAGTTACCCCTGTGCGTGGCCAGGTGTGACTCAAATAGCAAAAAAAAGAGAATGTAATGAGACTAACTTTTGTGTATATGAATATGATCCTGTCCCTCTTGTTTTGCATGTCATTGTTTCTCAAAATACCATTCACTTCAATTTCATGTTCTTGCCTTTAAAAGTGGGATGAAGCACTGTTGACTATGAGTAAAGGAGAAAAGGCTCGACTAGAAATTGAACCAGAATGGGCTTACGGAAAGAAAGGACAACCTGATGCAAAGTATCCTTTTTTACTTAACAATTAAAGAAACACTAAGATCATATAAAGATATGAAAGATGCTATCAAGATCATCTTCAAGATAGGAATTCTGTCCAAACCTGTATCCCTTGGATTTAGATACCCCTGTATCAGTTCCTCCTGATAGACTTAAGCTGTTATATACTGTTTTTCAATATCCAGATTCTTCAAGACCTAACTGTAGGTTTTAAAATTCATCTCTGAGGAACCTGAGTGTTAGTATGGTAAGTAGACTACTACCCCTAAGGGATGTTTATCAGCTTGCGGGTAGGGCCTTGCATGCAGCTGACAGTTCGATTCCTCTGCCCCTCTCAGAGAGTCTGGCAAGCTACCTAGAGTATCTCATCCACACAGCAAAGCCTGAGCAAGCTACCCATGAGGTATTCAGTATGCCAAACACAGTAACAATTGTCACAATAGAGATGTTACTGGGCCCGTTCTAGGTTCTAGCAAATCGATGAACAATGGGAGGACAGTGACAGGGACAGTATTTGAGCTGACAGATCCTTCCCTCTGGAGTTACTATATTTTGTAACTAAGGTAACTGGGAGTGAATATACCTTAACAACCTCAACAGAATTCCACCAAATGCGAAACTCATTTTTGAAGTGGAATTAGTGGATATTGACTGAAATTGGAGTGCTTCAGATCCACAGGTATAAGCAACAATAAAGCAAGCCTTGACAAAGTTGATGTAACTAATTAGTTGGTTACTATTTTAAGAAAAACTGGAGAATTCAAGCAGTTAGAACTTGTTTTCTTGATCCCCAACTTTTAAGAAAGTCCCTTAAAAATTCCTTTAGTCTAAAATATTTTACTACAGCTATGTAAAATGTTGGTTAAGAAAAACTGCTCTTTTACCTCATGTTGTAAACTACAAGGCTCAATAAAAATATATCTAATGTCTTGATTTGTTTGGTGTAATATATTAACATTCTGATAACATTAACCAAGACTAAGACTCCACCAAACTAGGGAGTAATTCACAGAATAACAACCGGAATGCAGGAACACTCCTATTACAATCTTTTAAGATAAACACTCCCTTATAGCTCAAAGCACAGCAAACTAAGAATTTTTGGCAAGAATAGCTAAAATCAGGAAAGATACACTTCCAAGTATGAATATAAAATAATAAAGATAATGAATATAAAATTATTTGATTCCCACCCCTTCAAATAAATCCAAACAATTACTGGGTGAGTCTTCAGTTTTATTACAAAAATGTGGATGATCAGTTTGACCAAAACGAAAGTTTACTCACAAGTTTTACATGAATGTTGTAAATACAAAGTTTCCAGAAACCACATACTTTTGATATGATTTTTTAAAGGGATGCAAACATTCCATTTTCCTTTATAATCTCTATTCCAAGACACAGTGTTTTAACAACCATGTATCCCAGATCCATATTCACAGGATAATTTAAACACTCGGGCAAAAGCTTGTCAATGAAGGTTTTAAAAAAGTTTTAAGAGAGGTAAATCTTTAACAGCCCTTATGTTTCAGAATCTTGAACTACACTGACATGATTTGCAGTAAGTTTTTTTCCTACCCTAAGGCTACAAAACTTGCAACTGCAAAATAAATGTAGACCACTTATGAAAAATCAAAAAAATAGTTCTCCAATAGAAAGTAAATTCCATAAATGGTAGGAAACCGTATGATGATAAACTACTAAGTGACATTTTTGCTATTACAAACAAATCATGTTACACAAAAGTGGAAGACAAGCTATCAAATACAACAAACTCATGTCATGTTTACATCCCTCATTAAAAAAAATAAATTCCTACTTTCACATTCCTTCTGATATTTACATTTTTCCATCAGGTTGGAGGGGGGGGATAATACTGTCCATAATTCCAAGGGTTCTGGTAATTGTACTGAAAGAAAAAAAAAACATTTAGCACACTATAGCTATGAGTTACATATATGAAAATACAATTAAATTTTTCTAGACAGGGGTAATACTAAGCTGTGCTGGGCCACTAGGACTACCCTAGTAGTGCTTGACGGCCAATGTAGTGCTGAAGGATAACATTTGGCTTCACGTGTTCTAGGCATGTGCTTTAACATTTGAGTTACCTCCCTTGCCTATAAAACATTTGAGAAAATAATACATGGGCCATGATTACTAAGAGCACTTGCCTTGCATGTGCGAGGCCCTGAATTTGATGCTCAATATCACACAAACTAGGAAAGTAGGTATTCTCAGTGATAAAAGTCAAAGAGTGAAGTATAAAATATAGCAATATAGTCTGAAGAATGTGAGGCCCTTAGGGCTGTACGGTGGGGAGGGCCTTGCATGTAACCAACCCAGGTTCAGGCATCCCATATGGTCCCCCAGCAGTGCCAGGACTAATTCCTGAGTTCAGAGCCAGGAGAAACCCCTGAGCATTGCTGGGTATGACACCAAAAAAGCCAAAAAATAAAAAACAAATGTGAGGCCCATATTCCATCCACAGCACTACATGCATCCCAAGCACCACCAGGAATAAACCTAATCCAGGAGTAGTTCTAGCACCAAAACAATACAATAAAAAAGGGGGAAAGGACTACCTTACACTTCTAATAATATAATAAAAATTACATTATATGAACTCACTTGGTACCAGGCACTATAATTATATGCAGCTTGATTTGCCTGTAAATCACCATCAATCATCTGTGTAGATGATGAAGTATCTTCTGTGTGTACTTTCTTTTCCTCTGGTTCTTCTGAGCTAAATAAAAATTGAAAACTTTCAAAACTCACAGAGAAGTACCTTAATAAATAGTTGAATGTCACCTGTGTACAAAAAGGTAACATTTAAAAATATTTTATCTTTAAAAGCATCTCTACATTCAAATGTTTTTTTAAATACGGTTTCTAATTCAGCAAGAAGTTACATACCCATTTTCTGCTTTTCTTTTTAAAGAATCCTGTTCTTTGAGAAGTGTTTGGTGTTCATCATAAGCATTCAGAAGCCTGAGAAAAGTAAAAAAAAAAAAAATTCCCTTTAGTTTCTAAGTTATTTTTTTGATCTATATGTTGCAATGTCCAGTAGTTGTTTGTTTTTTTAGGGGGGAGGGTTGTTGGGGACACATCCTAATGGTTAGGGCTTACTCCTGGCTCTACATCAGGGATCACTCCTTGCAGGGCTCAGGGCACTAAGGAACAAGTCCAGGTCAGTGTATGCAAGGCAAACACTACCTATTAGACTATCTTTGTAGCCTCCCTTCCCCCATTTTTAAAAACAAGCTACAAAGCAGGAAAACCTGTATTCAACTACCTTTTTTTTAATTTCCTTTAGGATATGTATTAGTAGGCAACAAATCATAGAGAGAAATTATATATATATGCCTCTCAGAGAGCCCAGCAAGCTACCGAGAGTATCCCGCCCGCAGGGGCAGAACCTGGCACACTCCCCGTGGTGTATCTGATAAGCCAAAACATTAACGATAACAGGTCTCATTCCCCTGACCCTGAAAGAGCCTCCTATCACTGGGAAAGATGAGTAAGGAGAGGCTGCTAAAATCTCAGTTCTGGGAGGAATAGAGACGTTACTGGTGCCCACTCAAATAATTCGACGGCCAACGGGATGACAGTGATACAGGACATAAATGCTGTGTTGTCTCAGTCTGGTTCTGTGGTTCAAATGGGGGCTACTGGGATACAAACTTGAGCAAATACAATAGTACACAACATGAACAATGATTAAAGATAAACATACACGCAAAAAAATTGTGATTCCAGGATCTTCAACCATGCTACTGGAAAGTGCCTCTTCTCTTTTCTACCACTGCCCAGGGATAAGAATGTTTGCTAAGATCTACCTATGGTTATAACTTCTAACATATCGGGGAAGCCTAAGACGCTATCTAAATGATCACAAGACAGGTGCGAGTTTTGATCTAACCAATCCCACAGATTCCCAGGCAACTCCAGGCACAGAGTAAGTATTGGTCTCTGAACATGGCTGGGTATGATCCAACTCTCTTCCCCCAAAAGTCACTAACAGTAATACTCAACACAAAATAACCAATAAAATATCCTATAAAACTATTAATACCATCAATTTCAAATGCATATAAATATCCAACACTTTTAAATGAACTAATTATTTTCAAGTCTGTCACCTTATGGATTTAGGTGACGAGAAATCAGGAAAAATATGAAAACAAATACACAAAAAGCAAGTAACAGTACAACTTTATATGGCTGACTTAAATATTAATATTCTTCAACTTAATGTACCACAAAAAATTTCCTAAGTGACCAACTTATTTTTCATATCATTCCTTACTAAAATTTCAACCACAATCATCTGAAAGCTGGGAATATGGCTTAGAGGCAGACACATGACTCGCATATTTAAGTCCCTGGTTTCGATTCCAAGCACCACACCAAGCAAAAATAGATCGAGTCTAACAGTCTTACTTAGAGCAGATACTAAGCCCTCCATAACTATTTTTGTAGCAGTCAAAATGACATCTCTTTTTGTTTCTGTTTTTGTTTGGGGGTCATATCTAGCTGTGCTCAGTAATCACTCCTCAAGATTTCAGGGGCCGTATGAGGTGCTGGGGATTGAAACCAGGTCAGCTGCATACCAGGCAAGGGCCCTACACACTGCCTAAATGACATCTTTGTGGTAAGTCACCATTTGTCTTATTACTGCCAAATTAAAATGTGATTTAATTTTAGCCAAAACTAAGTTTCAGTGTTAACTGTGCACTGAACTCTGTCTGGCATTTAAAGCACAGCAAAATTAAGATCACACTCACTCCCACATTTAGAAAACTCATTAATCAAGCAGATTTTCTTGAAAGTTTAACTTGCTTCCATAAGTATTCTTGTAAGTTTAACTTGCTTCCATAAGTATATTCTCATTTATCAAGAATTCAATAATAATTGTATTATGAAGGGTCCGTTACACAAGTGTATAAGAGACTACCAAGAGACTTGTATAATCCATTCTCATCCAGAAGTCACAGCTTTCTTAACTTACTGTGTACCTCATATACTGCATTTTCTCTGAGCACCATAACTACTGAGCTAAACTACAGTATTACATGTTCAACATGTTTTGTGTACTTTTATCAGTGAAAATACAACACACAAAGTAACCAAAACCAAGAAACTTGAAGTAGGTTATTATCTCATTACTACAATAGTTAAGTAACCTTATGGAGCAGACATATAAGCTGAGTTCATGCTCTGTATGCAGGAGAACAGGTTGAATCCCCAGCACCACAGGGCAGCCAGCAGCACTGAGTCAGGTGTGATTGTTGAACCCCAAGGTGCCTCCTCCAACACGCAAATAGTCAAATCTATACTCTTTCATTAGATAATAAACAGATGGTAATCATCAAAAACACATACACACTATAAACAGACCATAAAAGTTATTTTATCAACTGCAGGGTCAATGAAATCACTCTAAATTAGAAAATCAGAGATGTGGAGTATTTCCTTAGAAAAACCAGAGAAAACTGTAATGGAAGCAATGTAACAATTTTTTTTTTTCCAGAGGGGGCATATCTGGGTGTGCTCAGGGTTTATTCCTGGCTTTACACTGAGGAATCACTGTGGGTGGTATTCAGATCATTGGTGCTGCTGAGAACCTAACCTAGGCTGGCTGCATGCAATGTAAGTACTTATCCTCTATACTATCTTTCCAGTCTAACATTCGTACTCTTCTGTTATGCATATTTAAATTTTAAAATGGAACTTTTCCCAAATCTCGTAAGAGTATATGCTCTACTGCCTTCAATTTTCAGCTTTATGTAGTACACATAAATGTAGCACTGTCATCCCATTTTTTCATCGATTTGCTCGAGTGAGCACCAGTAACATCTCCATTGTGAGACTTGTTACTGTTTTTGGCATATCAAATATACCACAGGGAGCTTGCCATCCTCTG